CTTCCCCATTGTGAAGGAAAGAACATTTAATGGCAAAGAAAAAAAAGTAGCAAAAGGAAACCCATAGTTCCATCTCAGACTGAAACAGGCTTTTACCAGCTGAACCAGTTGCTTCCTGCTGAAACTGGATATTAAAACAAATTACTAATTTTATAATCGGTGCACCTGTTAAGATACTGGACAGTATAGTCTGGAGTCTGGAAAACAAAACAATGAAACAGCAATAATAGCTGCTATTCCTGCAATAATTTCTTCTTCATAGGAATCTGTACTGATAAAACATCCCTAAAAAAGCATAAATCACTTTTAACAGTTGTAGTGCTTATCTAAAAAGAAGCCAGTGGATATAATGGATTGCCATAAAAATTCTAGTACTTCCCAAGTACACATCAATGCTAAAAAGTGCCCAGTTTAAGATGAACATGACCCATATCTCAATATATTGCTCCATATGGTTCATAAGACCAGATTAATGGGTAAAGTAATTGAATCTGTGTCAAAGAGCTACTAAAAAATAAGGCAAGGATGCACAGCCTGGCCATCCCTGGTCATGTATTGCCTCCCTGTACCTGAGATGTGAAAGGAGCTATTGCACCATGTCAAGACACCATAGTACAAGCCACCAGTTCTGAGATGCAGCTCAATTTTGGATGTGCCAGTCCCGAATTTTTTTTTTCCTTGATTTTTTTTCCCTCCTCTTTGTTAAGAATAACGACTCTAGTGAGGCTTGACCCACAAGAGGATATTACTCCATCTATTGTGACTTTGAAGAATCACAGGAGAAAAAAACCTCAGGCAAAAAAACCACAAGTGCTGCTGAATCATTTTTGGAGTTAGGCTGCCAAGTTACATATTCATTAGTGCCTTCACACGGCTTTTGAAACCCTTTTCTATGATGCCTGCAATTCTTCCCCTCTCCTTTACACTCTAAATGTCAATTGGTTTAAGAGTATTACTCACATTTGCATAACAGATTGAAGCTATAAACTTATGATTTGAAAGGTAACAGACTTACAGTCAGTCTTGATTTGTCAGGTTTGCAGATTTACACTAAATTGAACTTACCTTAAATGCCATCTGAATAGTCTCCTCTGTGTTGGCTGGGTTACAAAGAATAGACAAACCAATTACATATTCTCTGAAGTCAATGGTGCCATCTCCATTCTGTAACCAAAACATGCATGGCAGTAGTTACAGTTAATACTGCAAATCCCTTTGAAAGCTGTTGTGTAAATCAAATATACAACATGCACCAATACAGTTTACAACACCCACCAGAGGTATTTGCTCTTCCTGGAAAAAATACTAACAGCTCACTGAATACGTAATACTAAGGCTGGAGGGGCAATATATTTATTTTCAGTAGCTAGAAATTGGGTATCCATTTCTATCTTATAAACATACAAACAAAAAAAAAATGAAATCAACTCAAAAGTTTTTCTTCACCATATGACCCTTCAGGAAGGCTCTAGGATGAACTGGAATACATGTGTTTAAGGTGACTGTAAGAGTGCATGCAACACTTGCACTTGCTGAAGTTCAGAGACCAATGCAACGTCTCAGAATAAACAGGCCAACAGTGAGGCTGTTGTTTTGAGTTCAAACCTTCAGCAATAACATATATGCCAGTGAAAGGACAAACAAATCTACTTGGTCTACCTTAAACTTTTCTTTGAAGCAAATGCACTGCCCCACATGCTATTTTGAAGCCAATAAACTCTCCTACCTTTTAAGCCAGAAAGGCAAGGAATTCATTGGAACAGCTTCTCTGATAATTCCAGTTTTGATGTGGATGAACATTTCAATGTGATAACTACAAAGCTACATCAACAGAACATTTGAAGTTTGCTTTGATGGGATTTGTGAATAATTTTATGTAAGCTGCATTATATTTGCAAATAGGGAAAATGGCAGATGCCTGTTGAAATCTCTGCATATGTCAGTAGTGTTCCTGTCACCACACTGAAAGTTTCTTGAGTGTTTTGGGAAACATCTGTCTGGGGAAAAGCCATCTATAAGTGTTACATGGTGGGACACAGAGCAGTTAATGACAGCATAGCAGAGATGACTTGTAGCTCATCATTTGGAACCTTCACAATAAGGGCATTCATGAAAAACGTTTTAAAAGCAAACTGAAGTATAAAGCAGAGTTCCCTTTGTGGATAATGTGCTGTGCACTTCAAGAGGAAAAACATTTTTTTAAAAAGTGGAGTCCCTACGTCTGAGAACAGCACAGAACTTTTTTAGCCAAGTGAGAGAGGGGTGGTCTCCTGGGTAAATCTGTAGCAAACAGCCAGATCTGGATTCTATTTCTGGCTCTCCTACCAACTTCTAATGCCCACTTGAGCATACCAACCTTAACCTTTCTGTTCTGGGTTTCCTGCTGCTGGCAGTGCAATGTGCCAGGGGAGAATACTAAGGCTGCTCTGTAGAGTGCTTTGAAAATCCTGGGTGCTATGAAACAGGGATTTTAGTAATTGAATTTAGCTTTTAAGATAGTTCTTCATTAACAAAATACGTGTAATTTTCATCATCAAGCTGTACATTTAACAGGATTTAAAACTGCTAAGGTACAATTTTATTTAGTCTTCAAAACCAATGCAAGACTTTTGCACAGACAACTGTTATCTTCTTTATACTGATGATCTTACCAATCTTTGAACATCTTGTACTTTAAAAACCTCTGAATTTCAAGGAAACTTTTTAGCAAACATATGAATAAGATATGAACTTTTAAGTTACTTGCATATGTGTCTACAGGATATAATTTTGACAGTTTTTAATCATTAGAAAGGACAATGTTCTCTCATAAATGCCATTTTATTTACAGATCTGCTGTCATTGTGGTGCAGAGCTGGACTTTAAGTATTTTGGCTACATTGTAGTTCTCAGAGATAACAGATCTAACTTTAAAGTGTAACATTACAAACATAAACTTTTAAAACAACTGAAGAAAGAGTGTAAATAATAATTGTTCAGAGTTCCATAGAATATTATTTTTGGACAGTTTTGTAGAATGTATTCTTAGCAAAGGATTGTTTGATGTGACTAGAATTTTTTTTGAAATTTATTTTTAAAGTTAAGGATATGTATCACAGGAAAAGAATGGGGAAGTAGACTTTAACTAAAATAATCTAATTAAAAACAACTTCTGAAAGAAATTAGCACAGCTGTGGCTCTACATGGAAAAATGACATGAAAAATGACAAAATAAGGATTATATTACTTTCATTAAAGTGCTAAAACCCAATAATCAAAACTGAGTGCAGTTTGACGCATAGAACTCAGCCATTTTAGTAGGAAATAAAGTTACTACGCTTGCAAGATCATGTTGTGACTAGCTTTACTAAGCCCTAGGATGCTGGCTAACTCCCAAATGCTCTGGCATTTTGGTTAAGGAGAAATGATGGGGTTGTAGCTCGTAAAAAGGGATGGGAGTTGAACTGAAAATGCAGGAAAACCTTCAGTGCTTGTGGAACACCACAGCAAAAAAGCACTTGCAACTGTCTTTCTACACACATCTAGTAGCTGTGTTTGCAGCCTATGTACCCAAGAATATGTTAAGGAAGCAACACGAGAGCTGAGCTCCAATTCTCTGAATGGCAAAGTGGAACATCAGAATTTAGGTATTTGTATTTATGTTACATAAAATAATCAAAACATAGAGTAATCTTAACAACTCTTGTTTTTTTTAAGTAAACTAGTTTCCTGCTACTCTTTTCACTATAGCATGCTATGGTAACTAGGATTTTGTTGTTGTGTTTTTATATAATACAGTAAATCTAAGAAAAACAAGGAAGTTGCATTGTCATAAGCATATTCCACTTAGTTCTGCACAAGGACTGCAAGACAGATACAGTACAAAGTACTACTGCATCAATACTTTTTTCTCTCCTGTGTAAGGCAACAGGAAAAATCAAGTATGTATTGTGTGTGTGCCTGCCATTCATGGCAGGTAAATAAATTATTAGGTAAATAAACCCTCAGTCACTTACAGGGTTACCACAGAGAAGCTAAAACTAACTGGACCATTTGGGGAGGAACTGCAGATGCAGCTCTTGTGTTCATATCCAGGTTCATCATGTAAGAGGCTATTGCTGTAACTTCCATATTTCCACCACCTGTTGCTACTTGTAAGTTCTAACCAGTCAGAAAGGGAAATTCTGAAACCAACCTGGTAGGATGGTGCTCACCTGGAGGTATCACACTTTACCTCGTGCTCACTTTTCTATTATTCAGAGCCCAAATGGCACTATGTGTTTTTCCACTGGATAACTGGGAGTGGGGTGAATGCCATTAGGAAGGAACTGACCTCTTTCATCACAGCTTGGGCCAATATCAATCTTTTTCTTTTACCCAGCTTGCTATTAAACAAAGTGCAGGAGGAAAAGAAGTCTGGGCAAAAATTGTAAGTTATTTTCTCCTAAGTTTCAAGTAAAAGGCTTCTCTAAGTAGACCAGGGAAGACATCATCAATCTGGAAAATACTATTTGCTAAGTGTAACTGCAAGATTTAGAAATCAAAGCTAAGGAAGTTTCCAAACAAAACCAAACCACATACTCCATTAACATGCAGATGCCCTGCAGGTTTTGTGTGGTGTTTCTCAGTGAGTCACCCCAGACAATTTTCATTTAAAGCAGCAGTGCCTGCTGAGAAATTTTCCTTGTGCAAGAGCTGTTTTGATCAACTGTGTAATCCTTAATTCAAAGAAATGTATCTTTGAGAGTTCATGTTATTCCATTTTTTTTTCTCAAAAGTTGACATCTTAGCCAGAACTACATAACAAGAAAGAGTGGGATGCTGTACCCTGATGAAATTTAACTTGGATAGCCAGAGGTTGATTTGGGCTAGCTGTCTGCTATGTCACTGCATCATTACAGCAAATTTCTCTAAATATAAATGTAGTACTTTAAGTTGTTTGCATTATAACTATAGCTTGAAGGAAAGACAGAAAAGACTAGTTTCTAGAATTGTAGGAAGGAGAAAATTGTTGTAAAAGTAGCCTCAGACAAGCTTTCAATTTTGCCCTGGCCAGCAGGTAGAACTGACAATACAACTCAGGTTTTGCTTCAGCAGCCAAGCATGAAAAGCAGCAGTAGGAAGGAAATTAAATGATTATGTAAATTCCCTGGTCATTACAGTTATTGCAGCTCTAATGTTTTTTCCCCAGTAGAAATAACTACATGACTCTACCACTGATTGCCTTCAGGCAAACAGACTTTTATTCAAGCTTAGTGACTGCTGACAAATCAGAACAGCAACATCAACACCAAATTTAGGAGCTTTTTATATAATAGTTATATTCATACACAAGCCACTTTACGTAAAGAAATAGCGAAGCTTTGATTCTTTCAATATATTCCCTCACTTTAAAAGTCCAGAGTTAGTTTTCTGAGACAGGCTTATGCCCAGATGACAACTTACACAAACCCTTCAGAAAAGCAGAGTAATGCATGCACAAGAGGAATCACAACACTTGAAGCTGAGCCATCTACCACTAGCTCCATCTGCCTTAGAACAAGGAAAAGACTATAGTTCTGCAGCCCAGGATTGTAGCCTTCCCTGTGTATCTCCCAGACGAAGCTTGTTCTTCTCTGCTATGCCTTCAGGAATACATGGTCAGCTGCAGCCAGTCCTCAATGGTCACCTGGATCTGCCCACTTCCATCTCGGTCCAGGGACTTGAAGGTGCGGAACATGCCGTCCAGCCGCACCAGGCAGCTGATGAAGCTGTTGAAGTCCATGCTGCCGTCCTCGTCGGCGTATCTGCGCACGATCACCCGGAGGAGTTCTTCTTTCAGGTGGAACCCTGCAGCCTTCAAGGCGTTTGGCAGCTGAGCTCTCCCAAGAGTGCCTGACTGATCGGTGTCATACTGCTTGTACACACACTGCCATTTCTTGATGTTGTTCCACAGGTACTTAAACTCTTCAAAGCCCAGTTTGCCGTTTGTGTCACAGTCCATGACGGCTACCATGCTACGGCACGTGTCTAAGCTGAAGCCATCTGTCTTCAAGTCTTGATGTCTGGAAAGAACTTTGTTCAGGATGTTCCTCAGCTCTGTGGCACACACTTCCATATCATCTCCAGCCAGCTGGGCAAAAAGGCGACGGAACTGCCTGATCTCGTCGCTCTCATAAGCTTCCACATTTGTAAAGTGATTGCGAGGAGGTGGAGGTGGCTCTGGATTGTACTGAGCTGCTGCTTCACTTATAAGATTGACAATACCTCCGACGAGTCCTCCAATATTCCCTCCATGTCCACCACCTCCTGTTAGGAGACCTCCAAGGCCACGTGCAAGGCTCCCTCCACGACCACTGCCACTTCCTCCGCTCAGCAAAGCTTTAGCAAGGAACATCGTCAAGATTTACTGAAGGGAGTCAGAGATCCAGGGCTTCTGTAACTCTCCGAAGCTGTATCGTGTCTGACTTGGGCGTGGGCAAAACACAGCTTATCTGCAGGCTTAGACTTCACCAGGTCTGTGCATGTCTCTGGCTGCCAGTTAGGTTTCGTTGGTTTCTGTCAGGTGATGATACACCTGTTTTTCTTCTTTTCTTCTTTGCATGGTTAGCTTTATATGATTTAAGGAATCATTTTAGAGAAAAGAATGATGAGGCTGAAAGCCACAGAGCGGAAGTCTCAAAATGCCTGTGCTCATACCTGAAGCAATTTGAAAGGAGTCCTGCAACATGAGCGTGACTGATCCTCAGGTACACTGATCTCCTTAAAGATGAATGCAGCCTTGCACCTGTCCTTGCAATCTTTCATCCCTTCAACTTTTTAGTGAATTGAGCCTTACTTTGTTAGTTCTAGTCACTGGTGCTGTTGTGCCACATAAGGAAAATGAAGGGAGTCTTCTTTGCTCTTATTCTGGTTGCCACACCACATTTCTGATGTATGTACTGTCCTTCAGGCCTCCAACTACAGGCTCAAAGGAGCCAATGGTCCAAGATGAGGAGGCAAGGATGATGAAAAGATGAGGACTCAGCTCTGCTAGAGCTTCAATGCACTCAGCAATTCAGGAAATATTTGACTCTTCCCTATTTTAGAGCTTGTAAAAACTTTCTATCTGGAAAAATCCTGAAACGGTTTTAATGGGCATTTACAACACAATGACCTGCTAAGGACAGGTGTGCTGCTAAAGGTAACTTGATCAGCAAGAGTGATGCTGAGTTGGGAAAGCTCCTATGGTAAGAGAAAACCCCCAGTTCATAAGTGCTTGCAGGACAACATGCTGCTTGCACTGCAGCACATGCTGGGTGCCTAGAAGATGAATTCTGTGCCTGCTCTGGTCACTGATGCTTCTGGTATAGTCAGAAGGGCATCCACAGAGCAATTTTTGTCATCCTCAGAGAGAAGCAGAAAATGGGAGAGATTGGCACTGACCATGGGAGAAAGCCTAAATGATCACATTAATGCACGGCCCCCTTTATGGCTGCAGGAGGCCACAGGAGTTAGACTCTTTAGGCAAGAGGAGTCCCTCTGAACTCTAACAGCACCCTTCACAAAAACAGCAGGAACACTAGTGTTCTAGTTAACACTGTAGTTAGATTCACTCTGCCTTAAATTATCTACTTACAACTATACAGTTAATTAAACTGTCATAAGTACATAACTACACACATGAATACGTAAGCTCAAAATCTGGGCTAGGCAAAAAGAAATATTCAGCCACTACCAGCATGGAGATTATTGTCTGATACTGGTGCAGCAACTTGGTCCAAGAGATGGTTGCCATGTCCCAAGATACAAACTGACCACTGTTTTTACATCAAAACTTACGAAGGAAACTCTAAGAGTCACCTATCTTGCCTAAAGGAACTGTTAACCAAGAAGCATTTACTGGACATAGTGAATTAAATATCCTTTTGGGATGTGATTTCTAACAAAATATTGTCAACAAGTCAGTTAACCAGCTACTCACCCTGTCAAAGAGTAGAAACAGCTCTTTGAGGACATCTGTAACAGGCAGCTTCAAGTAGTCCGCGAACTCTTCAATTCCAATTCTTCCCCCTTTGGAAGCACTTGCAATAGCAGCAAAAGTATCCAACTGCTCTCTGACATGTTTCCATTTTAGGCTATGCAAACATGAGGGAGAGAAGATATTTCTATACAGCAGTTCTCGGACAGATGGAATTTCAGTAGGAGTGATCACAGTGTTCAAAGACAAAAGACTGCCAAACAGAGCATGTGTGCACTGCATCTCTAATGCTGCACTTCAGACTGGATATTTTATATTAAATCAGCAATTAAGGAGTGATCCCCCTGGTTATTAATATTAAAAGCAAGCAGTTCTATGATTGGATATGTCAGACTTCCATAAACTTCCCAAACCTAGAATCATCTGTTCAATTACTGGGCTACTCTAGCAGAGAGCTTTTCATTACCATAAATTCAGGCGTAGCATCACTTTGCAGCATCATGCTCTAGGGGGAGTATTTCCCTAAGAGGAAGCAGATCTCAGCTCTATTAGCAGACTCTCTACCCTAACACCAGCATCACAACAGCCTCAGAAGTATCTGGTCTCTGCAGAAATACACCACTGCACCTCAGTAAGAATGATTAGTATTGCCAAGTAACTCTCCCAAACAGTTTGACATTATTTATGATTTAGCACATAAATAGTAAGTCAAGATTCACTGCACTCATAATTCAGATTTGCCCACAGCCATGCCAGGTTATTTGATGGAGTTACTGTATGGTTATGTGGTTCAGCCCTCAAATTCCACTGTATCCAGTCAGAAAAAGTTGACATCACTAGTGACACATGGCTGCACAATACAACTAAGAGCAGTAAACCACTGGTTGAAACCTCAGGCTGGAGAGGGTTTTTACTTCCTGCCACATGCTGCCAGTGCCTCTCCACTAAAGCAATTTAAATTTGCATCAAGTGCTTCAAATAGGTACTGCTCTACCTTCCTCACCCTCTGGTGAGATAATTCCATAAAAGATTAGAAAAATGTATTTTTCCTCTTGCTACATTGCCCACAAAAATTACTTGGGATTAATTCTTACTGGGATTTTTCTCATCTCTGATTGCCACGTAATTTATATATGTAAATGTATATATGTATGCATAAATACACAATATTACACAAGGCCAAGTCAGTTGTCAGGTAATTTATCCTTTTGTTGATACCTGCAGCACTGTAGTAATTATCTGCAGTAATTAGCTGCTACCAACAGCTAAACTTCCCTTACTTGAGTTTCTTGCTAATTTTGGTGAACTCCACCAGCCCAGCTTCCATGGGTAAAGTCAGCTGTCCTGCTGAAATCATCAGTCTGCAATCTTCAAAAGTGTGATCAGTGACTGGCACATTCAAAGCACTGAAACAAAATTCAGGAAAAAGAAAAATCAATTTCTTCAACGAAGATAACTTTTTGTCAACTGCTTCCCTTCTCTAACATGCAAAACAAATGATAATTCATTCTTTCACTGCTTCAAGTAGGACAAAGCAATACATCCTATTCTGTGTAACTGTGAAACCGAGTTATGGCAGTGTCATGATGTTTTATGATTTACAACCTTGTAAATGCAGCCCTGTAACCTTGAAGAACGAACCACCTACTTAGTCTTACCAAGCAAAAACAGAGAAATTTATTCCAGTTTTCTATGAATTGAACATACTCTGTTTCAATGTAAGACAACCTCCCTTATGCTCCATGTAAAAACGATCAGGTTGTTCTAGTATAGAAATTTGACACCTTTTAGTGAAAATCTAAAGCAATTTCTACATATAGTACCTGGGCCTTGAATAAATTTCACTTTATGGCTAGGATATATATGGAATTTCTGGATATAAAGGAACAATTCTCAGAGATTTAACCGATGACTGCTTACGTTGCCATGGTTTGTCGGACTCTGTAGGCAAAAAGAATGGGATCGTTCTTTTCTTCCTCAGTAGGAACGTGAACAGGCAGAAACTGAAAGGGATGAGTTATCCAATCAATTCAATAGTCCCCACTTTATTAGCAACATGAACATTTTCATATGATTGTTTGATGGGGGAAAAACAGGAGAAAAAAAATTAGCCATGCAATGAAGGAACTGGGCACTAGAGGTCTCAGCCGCCTTAGGAACTGCTCTGGCTCTTCCACCCTCACCACACAAATGAGATTTAGTCCAAAACTACCTCTAAAGGATTGGTAGGAGTTTCTTAAATATGAAAAATCAACCCCCCAGGGAAGTAAAGTATAATAAATGCATACTTTGTTAGAAGACTAAATGATGCACTGGTAAGAATGTGAGTTTGAAATACTACCACTCCTTTTCAAAGATCTTTTGTAAGTGATATTATATTGCAGAGTTACATACACTGCAATAGTGCATGTAAGAGTTTTAACGTTTTTAAATACACACTGCAGTCCCACCTCGTACCTGTTAATTGTATCTGTCAGCATGTGACTGACAAGTTTCCTGTACATTTTTCCTCCATGACAAAAACGTTAAGGAATCATAGTTCTGAGTTGTAAGGAGCAAATTAAATGGATGTAATACTGTAAAATTTCATAACTCCAAGCAGAGAGTAAAAAATCCCAACCACCTTCTCTCCTCCTACATCTAGAAAACACCCCAGATATCTAAGTGGCAGCATGTTTACTGTTCAGGATTTATTCAATATTAATATGTAAGAAGTTCAAGTACCTTTTCACTAAATTATCCTGTAGAAGAACGACTATCTATTGCAGTGTGAACCAGCATCTGTTTGCTAAGCAGTGTGTGTGGAGGAGTATTTTGCTCTTTCTACTTCAGTCTAAAGTGTTTGCTCACAGCTCTGTTTACTGTGCCTCTTCTCAGCTATGGTTATCATTTATCTGAGTTCTGCTGCTCCCCACCCTGCAGTCTTACCCTGAATTCCTAGAATACAGCAATTCCAAAATTAGATGTTGCTCATGAATCACTGGAAGACACAACTGCCAATTATGTGTCAATATGTTTCTTCAGTTATATTGCAGCTGCTTGTGATGTACTAATGTAGTGGTAACTGTCCCATATAAATGCAGGCTATCCTGAACAGCCTTTTAATGTTTGTTTTTAAGGAATGCTTCCTCTTCCTGATTAAAACCAGTAAGTCTATGGAATTGGTTATCTGTCAAATAGCCATAACAATTTTCTGTTTATACTTAAAAGTTGTCTCCCCTGTAAGGAAAGCAGGGCTCCTGCTGTTCACATGAATGCTTGAGATTTCATTCCTTCTGCAAGCAGTTGCCAGCTCTGTTCAAGCTCTGACACAGGTCCCTGCTTATCACAATTCCCCTTCAGAAGTCACATAACTCTTAAATTGTGAAGGCACAGGCACAATGTACAGACACAAAAAACTGTTGTCACTGGGTGAGATGAAGTCAACTCTAAGAAGTTTATGCAACTGTGGGTCACGGTCTTGAAAGTGGTCATTACATCACTTGAGGCTGAGGTCTTGCTCAGAGAGCAATGTAACTTTCTGGCAGGTTAAACACCACCTCCATCCCCTTCAGAAAACCCACCTACAATTATTCACAAAACCTGTTTGCCAGAAACCACAGCTGGGGAGGAAGAATTTTGCTTCTTGACGTCCTGTGGTGGCATGATCTCACACACACACCCAGTTGCTTATCTGCTGAGGAGTAGTAAGTAAACCTTCCCTGTCAAATCACAGTCCTGTAAGAAAAATTCCTCACAGCTCTTTCAGGAGCACAAATACTTCTCTGATCTGCTTTTGAACTAGTCTCTCTTGCTATAGAATTTGCTAAATGCTGTATCTTCTGCAGACCAAAAACTCACTGCCAGGTTCACTGCTTGATTTTCAATATCTACAGTTTGTTAGTTTGACTAAACATGCAAACACACACACCTCTGGACTGCAGGAGTCCATCACTGCTTATGCACAGCAGGTAGAGGCAGTGCAAG